GTGTTCTAGTCATCCTAGGGTTAGCTAGTGGTCAATTTGTTATTCCAGTTGTTATTTATATTTCAGTTTTATATTGTTTTATTTGTTATGTAAATACCAAGGGCAGATTTGTCCTTTTCATGTAACTGGCATAACCTATAAATATTAAATAGAAGTGGCGGCGGCAGAACATTCAGATTCTGTCCTTCCTTTCAATTCCTGTGTTCTACTGCTCTCTCTCTACTCTTTCTCCTCTCCCCTCTATACCTTTTCTCCTATTTTCGAACCTGAAATCTACTAGGGTTCAAGGCTGATAGCAGTCTTGAACATCTGCTTTACTCATCCCCTCTTGAAAAGAACTTCCCATAAAGTTCTCACTGGCACACTCCTTATAATAAGATGAAAGATGCTCAGTGTTTTAAAAAGGACAAGGCACAAGAAAAAGCACAAGGCAAGGTGCATGCTTTTGTGAAGCAAGGAGCAAATTTTACAAAAAAAAAATCAAAATTGCAAAAAATAAAAAAGGGAAGAATAAAAAAAATATTATTATTATTATTTAAAAATGCATACTTAAAATTTTAAAGCAAATGTTTTAAAAAGCCAATTTCATCAAATTAAAAAGCATAAACATAACACATAAAGCATATACAAAGTGAAAATATAAAATAAAGTTAAACATAACATACAAAACTCAAGCACTCACAATTTAAGCAAATGAAATTTTCAAGCTCTTTATTTCTTTCCCAATTGCATTACTTTAATGCTTTTTTATCAATAACAGAAAACAACTTTATTAATGAACATTAAAAAGATACATGATGATACAAAAAACAAAGGAAGAGGTAAACTCTCTTAATCCCCCCCCCACACACACACACACAAACACAGAAAAAAAAAAAAAAAACACTTCAGGATTACAACAATGTCCAAACCAAGTCATCTCTTTCCACCCCTTGCTTAGCAAGTGTATCAGCAAAGGGATTAGCACTTCTTTTCACCTACTGCAGTTTTATTTCCATGCCCTGGGACAGCCATTTAAGCTTCCTTTTTTCATTAGCATAATTCCAAAACCCACTTCCTCCTTTTGCAGCCAACTTATCAGTAGTTCTGGATCACCTTCAATAATCAGCTTTCTAATGTATAGCTCCTTTGCCTCTTGTATACTTTCCATTGCCACCAAGACCACTGCTCTAAGTGAATCGCCTATTCTGATAGAACCTGAAGATAAAGCAATAACTTTCCCATTGCATTACTTTAATTCTACAAGCCGCTTTTACTAAGCCCCTTGAGGCAAGCCCAAATAAGTCCATGCTAGGGTCTTAAATTCTTAGTTAGGGGTGCAATCAAATTGAGCTCTAATCAAATAGTTCGGGCTTGACTTTGATTCTAATCAAGTTCAGGGAAAGCTCGATTAGTTACTCAAACTTGAGCTTAACCAATAAAAAGTTTGGCTCGACTCGATTACACCCCTATCCTTAATACCTGAAAAATTGGTTTTATAATTTAGTTTCAATTCCCTATCTATAAAATAAATGTCTTGTATTAGGAAGAATGAAATGAACAATATTAGCAAAAAAGAGATTCTCAGACCATGGACGAGTGAGCAAAATACAAGACATTTTTTAAAAGATAAGAACTAAAAATAAATTATAAAACCAATTAATAAAGTAGGGACTTAGAATTTAAAATCCTACCATGTACTTATTTGGTCTTGCATCAAGGGGTTCGGTTGAGGGTCTAAGGACTCTACCTCCGGCTCAGCCACCATGCTTAAAAAAAAGTACAAAAACCCAAATTTAACAAAGGCATGTACCTGGACTGAGGTGCAAGGCACACCAGGTGCGTTCTTTTCTAAAGTGGCTGCACCTAAGCCTAGGCAAGGCACAAGACTTCAAAATATGCCTCACTTGTGCACCTAGGCATGCCTTTTCAATCACTGAAGATGTTCACATTGAAAGTTTCACTGATTTGCAAATCTGGTGGCAGCTTCACTTTGTAAACATGGTAATTTATTCTTGCTAGAATCTTAGGACCAGTCTTCCTAGGCTTGAGCATATGATATTTTCCACTATAATACCTCTCTATAGAAAGATGAACCCACAACCTCCAATTTTAAATACAAGTTTACAGTAATGTAGATCAGCTTGCTCCTTTGGAGAGATCTTGTAATAAAGCTCATTGAGAAAGCTGAACTAGGTATAAGAATAATATGGTATTGCATGCTACAAACAAGGCAATTCAGGTGACAATTGTTTAGTGAGGTGGTTTTCGTCCATGTGCCTAGAGACAAGAACCACCTAGCCGATGCGATAGCTACCCTGGCCTCCATAGTCGAGATGCCTTTGTACCGGTCAATGGAATCACTCGTTGTTGAAAAGCTATATCAGCCGGCATACTTATTCATCCAGTGCCCCTACTTGTTTTAGAATGCCATCACCACCTTGCTGGTCCAAAATATCCCCTTTTTCTAACAAGAAAATACCATCTCTTATTTTTCCAACTCATGCTCAAATTCAGGTTCGAAACAACACACCATATTCTTCCCCTTTTCAAAATCTTGTTTACCTTTAGAATGCATTAAGGTTAACTTTTTACCATCCTTATTAAAAGTATAACTATTGTTCCAACCACTATGCTTAATCTTTCTATCAAACTCCCAAGATCTAACAAGCAAAAGATGGCATGCATTCAAAGAAACTACCATAGTCATCAAGTCAACAAGGCGCCCATGGAGGGTTGCCTCACTTAATCACCAAGGTATTTTGTACATAGCGCTATTATATACTTTTATATTCTTAATTTTTTGGGATTATAATAATAAAACAGACATAACTAAACTAAATTATTCAGTTTGTAAGTTAAAATACTAGTTTTCTTTTTATTATTTTCTTATTTGTTAGGGTTCAATCAACATGTATGCTGTCTTGAACCTCACTAAAAGTTCAAAACCTGAACTGGAAAGCAAGGATAACTCAAAATTTTGTCCAATCTATACATATTGATTGTTATTTCTTTTTCTCCTGACAAATTTATTGATTATCATTTTCATCCTTTCTTTACTTCTTTTCCTAGGACAAAATAGGGACTCAGCTCCTCTATTTTCTGAAATTTCTTTTCTTTCTTCCTCTTCCCTTTTTTTTTTGATCAGCAACACAAAATTGATTCATTAGATTAAAAAAGAGGTACAACAAAGATTTGTGGGCACAAAAACAAAGCCCACCCAGAAACTATTCACTATTTACAGAATTGCCCAGAACATAGAGTGTCTTTGAGTTCCTTGCTTTGCCAGACCAACAGCCAAACTGTTTGCAGACCTCCTAATCCATCTTATTTTGATCATCATATCTTTAGAAATCTGCTTGAATCTCCTTAATTCATTCCTTAACTTCCATATGATTCCTTCCCCTTTTTTCAACCAGCCCACAACTACTTTTGAATCACCTTCCATTTTTTTCACAAATACATTGATTTCCTATTTTATCAATGAAGTTTATAGTTTTTTTTATGAAGATCATAGACAATTTCTAGTGAAAGATGGTTGTTGCTTGCCATGGAACCCAAGGAATTACCCTAGGATTAATGGTTTTTATTGAAAAAAAAAAATCCATCATCTAGACAACTAGGAGACAAGGCGCTCCCCTGTCACCTAACCTTGCCTTGCACCTTGAAACCCATGTATCACACCATAAAGTATTATTATTAGCATCACCAATAGAAAATGACACGAGGCAATGTTTATTAACTTCTACTTCATGATCTTTATCCAATATTGCAAGTTTGAAAGTCCGTGGATGTAGGATGTAGCTTCATCTTCAATTTGATCTTAGTCACAGCTTCTTGGGAAATTGCATTCTCACATTTTCTAGGGTCTATAATAAGTATGACACAGTAATCAGCAATAGTGCACTTGGTGGAAAAAATATTATGCCTTAAACAAAATTTATTGTCATCCATTGGAGCATCAAGGGTTGTTGGTTTCTAAAACTAGGACCATAAGAGTGTTCATATAGAACATAATCTGCATCCTCTGCATCTTCCTTAGGAGCTTCAGGTTCTTCTATCTAATATTGATTTTCAAATTCTCCACCTTCCTCTTCCTCACCTTTGTTTTCTTTTTGATCAACCCCACCTTTGTTTTCTCTCAAGGACTAATTCAATCCATTGGAATTAGTTGGCATTGGGGACACTGAACCCAAACCAATTACTCTCGCACCCCACCCCTACATTGTGTGGCTTCAAGACCATACTTGCCCTTGAAGGGAACCATGAGTTCTCCCAGCACTCAGACCAGGCTCATTTTGGGTTGTTTGCTTTGTCAATTCTGCAATTATAGTAGGGGAAAGATCATAAGCTGATTTGAAAGTGAAATCCTCAGTTTTACCATGGACATAAATAAGTTAGTCCTCTTCTCCTTACCATATATTGAAAACTGCCAATATTGAATTTGGTTACTGAAGACTAAGTAACAGTCGGATGGCATTATAGGTCCAATATTGAAATTGGTTAAGCCAAATTCTCCAGTCTCAACTAACGTCAATAAGTATTTCTTATGTATTTACATTAGTCATATTATTTCCAGACATTTAAACCGAATTGCGAAATGCAGGAGGTATACCTTTCAATGGAACAGACTCCAGTATTGTTTGTAAGTATCATGGATATTTTTAAGTTCATAAAATAACTTGGGGGGATATATTAAACCCAACTACAGGTCTAATGTTAAACTCCATGCGTTCACATAAGAAGCTGTGTGATAGAAACAGATGAAACCAGACATAACTTTTCCTTTCTAGTCAAATGATCAAATACCAAACAAAATAATAACAAATATTTCTTTGCAACACATTTTTCTCAAATTCCTTAAATTCTGCGATGTTAATTAACAAATTTCACCATGTTGAACGAAAAGAAATAAGTTGTCTTTCGCAAACCGCACAATCATGTCAAATCGTTCGACCTACAGATACATTATAAGGAAGAAACAGTTTCTTTCGAAATAAGAAATATCGAATCAAAACTACCTGTTGAATTATCTTACGCTTGTTGTGTCCAGCGGCGAGGTCGTCGAGATTAACGATCTTCTTTATATTGGTTTGCATATCCCGGACAAGCTTGAACTGCACATCGGACTGTAAAAGGGCTCGAGTGATCTCGTTCAGACATTCATTAAGGACCTTCTCGTCAATGATGGTCGCATTGCTCATCTGCTGGAGAGCACGGGAGATGCTCCCCCCTAACTGTGCTAACACCATGTTTCCCGATCGATCAAACGATCACCTCAGCAATTCAATTCGGAAGGGGATAGCTTTTATCGTTAGGTTTAGCGTTTCTTCACAGGGCTGGTTACTTTCTCGTGCAAGGCTGGAATCGAATGACCAAGCTTCGCTTGGGTGCGCGAGAGAAAAGACAGATATCGAATGATAGGTCGAATATGAATCCGGCGAAGGAATACTCGCAGACGAAGCTGTAGCGGTAGGGGTGCTGATGGTCTAGCCGAACCGTGGGCAAATTTTTTAACCCGAACCCAACCATTTGATTAATTGAGATCGGTTTGGCTTTTAAGCGGTTTGGTTTTTTGATTTTTTCGATTTCTATATTTATAATATAAATATAAATACTAGGGTTTAATTATGATATGATATGGAAAAGATATGATATCCGAAAAATAACTTACCAATAAATTGAAATCATAAACGTGGTGGCGAATAAGATTTTATTTATCAAAATTCATGGGTGGATTTTGATTGGTCAAAATTCTTTTCATATCATATCTTTTTGGCATCATAGATTTCCTCTAAACGATGCTATCGAAGATTGTAGCACCGGTAATCCATAACCTATCAAGGTGATTTGTTCATAAGTCCCATTTGTCAATACAAAAGACATATATAAGAGGCCGTAGGGTGGTCATAAGTCCCAGCCCTAGGGTGAGGATTCTGATAATTAAGTTAGCCGAGGTAATAGAAAAGCCAAGGTACCGATGTGGGACAAGCACAAGAGGAAGAAAGAGAGTAAGAGAGCGTAAAAAAGTTACCTATGACTCCTAGCTGTTATTTATAGGCAAAGTCCTACTATTGGTTGTGTTGTGGGCTCCTTGTAATGGCTTACTCTGACACTAATGAGCATAAGTGCTCAATCATGGTCATAATATCTCCAAGAATAACTCGCCATTAAGTTCGGGGACAAAATATTAGGGATGCCCCACGAGGCCTGCAAAGTGACAAGGTTGACCCTCAAGTGTGCCACATGTACATCAAGGCCTAGATGGGCAATTACAACCATATTACATGCCCCCCACTTTTGAGGCCAAGGTTGAGGTAAGGGCCATTGGTATGGCTTAAGTTCGACTTCAAGCGAAGGAAGTAGTTAAGGCTCATCTAAGTGGGCCTCATCACTCTGGCATGAAGTTCTATGATATTTGTTCATCGATAAAGGTGATGGTTCGGGATCGTCAAGTTCAGGGGTGGAGCACTAGCTTGGGAACCATGGTGACTAGCAAGGCATTGTTTTGACTCTCGAGGCACACACCACATGGTGCTCATCAGTATAGGAAGCCAATTTGGTGGTGTGGTCGTGGTCGTTGGGTGAAATTGATCCTTGTTATTAATATTTCTATAACAAGGAAGGTTGAGAGGCCGAAAGTCTTGCCATTTGTTGTTATGAGTTACTTGAGTGCTCATCCAGCACACATCGACTTACCCTCAATGTTTACTTTCCAAAGTTTTCATTTTCTTTAGTCTTCAATAAGTCCTCATCCTTCTCATAATGTCTTTAGATTTTGGACTGAGAGGTGCACAACCTTCTAGACTAGGATACCCCCCATGCTACCTACTGCACTCCTCACAAGGCTGGGTCAAAAATTAAGAGCTCAACTTGGGCTCTAGGGCTGAGGTCTTGCAAAGTAGGTCTAGGATAGCTCAAGTTTCTAATTCAGCTGAGGTCATAAAGGTAGGCAAGGAGTCAAGGACCAAGTGTGATGAAGCTTCTAGTTCAGCTTTCAAATAAGTAGAGGTGGTTAGGGAGTCAACAACACTTCTTGCTACAGTTGTACCCATTGCATAGAAGGGGGCGAGGTTTAAGTTTGAATGCATCCTTGGTTCCGCTGATGTAGAGAAGTTGCATCAGGATTATTTCATTATGGATCACTTTGTAACCAGGGTTCCCAAGGATAATGAGAGGACATAGACAACCAACGAAGGGGACATTTGTGTACACAAGCATCACTACAATCTAGGCTCTATTTGCATTTGCATTTGCATTTGTTAATTCCCATGATCCTAAATCACTATGGAATGACTATCAATCAATCGACCCACAATGCTATTAGGGTTATGGTTGGAGCAATCTCAAGCGCCCACTAATGAGGTGTCCAACTCATATTGAACTTATTATTCCCTTAGGACCCACCTATCAAGCCAAGGGTGGTGGTACTTCATGGCTCAATACCATGATTAAGATTTTGGATAGGTCCCCATCTTCTATGCATCATAGAAGAGTAAATACTTCTTTGTGTCTTTTGCTAAGGGTTAGCCCTTGAGGATGAGGTGAGGGAAACCCAACCTTACTTTTAAGTCTAGCCCAACACTTAGTGCCAAGGAGAAGTGCTTATTGATCCACATCCAATGTGAGAGGACTTTCTCCGACCAATTCCTTACTAAGGAAGCTTTAGTGTAAGTCAGGCTTAGTCCAACTAACCTCAGTAGAGACACATTCTCAATGACCTTTTTTATTATTTACAATGTGAATAGTACTAACTGCAGCCTATTTACTTGTGTAGATATGGATCCCGCTAATTGGAAAAGAATAGCCATGGCTACCAAGAAAAAGGATGAAGCCGAGGCCATAGCAAAAAGGGCTAAGGATGAGGCAATGTAAGGTAAGGAATTTGCCATTGAGGTATCCAAGAAGAAGGAAATCGAGGCCTAGAAGAAGTAGGTGATGAGGCCCAAGAGAGCCATCAACAAAGGTGAGGATGATTAGTCACCACACCCTAGTGCACATCCCATTGCAATCTTCCTCCCTCTAGTTTAGTTAAAGCCCGAGATAATGAGCCCCTTATGAATTGGTTGTTATACTGCCCCAAATGATTGGTGAAGGAGGTGGACTCCATTTTGAACAAGAAGGTTACTTAGGATTTGTCCAAGGATTGAGCTCTGCTCGAGAACAATTAATCCCTAATTGTCAAGTCGAGTAGTCCCTTGATCAACATGTTACTAGGAAAGGAACCGAGATAAGAGAATATATCTTGTGCTTTTGTGCTTTGTTTGGATTGAAGGAAAGTGTAGGGAAAGGAAGGGAAAGGTAGGGAAACCTTTACAAATCTTGTATTGGTTTCCATGTGTTTTCTTTCCTTTCCCACCTTTTTTCCTCTATGATAACTTTTGTAATTTACATGCTCTCTTTATAGATCCTCTTGTCATTAATCACTCCATATGATCAAATTTAGGCATTAGAGGAGATGTTGAAGAAGGCAAAGGCTAAGGTCCACCAAGTGTTTGAGGAGAGAGGTCATGCAATGGCTTACCATGTTGAGTTGTAAGACAAGGTCTCCTGATTGAATGAACAATTAACTAAGGCCAAAGATGAGATTTGTCACTCTCAAGATGTTTGCAAGGATTGAGAGACAAGGGCATTACAAGTTGAAGTTTATCTCACCATGAACGAGGAGCTAATGGAGTATAAAAAGGAATATATGGGCAGGTAGAGGAGGAACTTGTTTATGCCAAGGCTACAATTGCGGTTGAATACCTAGTGTCCAAGAACAAGCCAACAAGCACGGGTTTCATCTCAGCCAAGAACAAGTGATGTCCATTGCTCCGAACTTTTATGTTTGTAAACTTGACATTTATGCTGAGTCTAGGGATGACAATTATCAATACCCGATTTTTACTCCATCCTTTGCCTAAAACCCCGATTTATCCCTGAACACCTAATCAAATATTTCAATATCTCCGAAACACCAAAAAGATCCCAAGAACCTAAATATCAACTTTGAATCCTTAAAATCTACCATTAAATTTACCTGATACCAATCCAATAACCCTGATTAAATTGTGCCAACTCTGCAACCACCAAATCAAATGTAACCTTAAAATACCCATTTAGATCAAATCTCATCCCCATACTCCAAGCTTTCCTCAACCATCAATTAACTAAGAATGTATGTTCAGATGAATTGTTGGTCCAAATGTTTCTTAGAAGCTTAATGGGGTATGTTATAAATTGGTTAATAAACATAAACCCCAACACTATAAATACTTGGCCAAATCTAGTTAGCACATTCGTATATCATTATTCATAAAATGCTCACATCCAGTTATTAAGGCATATATAAGTGGTCAATCAAAGATCTAAAAAATCACAAAAATTTTAACTAAATGTAGGCACAAAAAACCTATGTGCTTAAAAGATTGATTGAAGAGACCAAGTTATGATGATCTTGAAAAATCTAACCAAAGAATATATACTTGAGTAGGCCGACTATGACACATTACTCCACACCCCATGCCTTAGTATGTGTAGGATGTTATGTGAAGAATACCTTGGCTATTGGAAATATAATGCCCTTAGTATCATTAATCAAGACCTCGCAAAGGAATGAAATGAAGCCTATGGAAACAAGGTAAACCAAATTGCATCAACACAACCAACCCAAAAGGTGGTCTTTAAACAACCCTCACCATCAGTTCATGCATCAGGGATACCCCCAAACATGACATCACTAGGTACATATCAAGGGTAACAGGGCGTTTAGAATACAACCTATACAAGTAAGCCCAATTAGGTGTGTTAAGACCAAAACAATCTATAAGTGCAATATAGGCCCAAAAATCAACCCTATCCAAAGAGAGTATTCATGGACTTAGGTAGACCTATGAGTTAGTTTCTCCAAGGCTTAATTAACAAGGGATTACTTAAAAACCCTTACCACCAAGGTCGCCACTAAACCCGCTTCCTCATTGGTACAATGCTAGTGCATATTGCGAGTATCATCAAGTGCTAGGTTGTTAGATTCATAGGTTCCAGCCCATTGCAACAAGAAATTCAAGACCTCAAAGGTAGAAACTAGATTGTCATGCTAGGAAATGTGACTCAATAATCAACTAGCATTAGTACCAATCCCTTGCCCAATCACCAACTTAGCACTATTAGAGCCAAAGAATCAAACCTAGTCATTAATTCAATCAATCTCATAAGGCCCATTTAGGAAATCGCCCTCATACTAACAATTACATCAGAAGTAGGGAAGAAAGAACAAGTGGATCCAACCCATCTAGAGAGATGGAAAAAGGTTTGTGCATCAGGTAATGATAGTCCAAGTTAGCCCAACAATGAACCCCATTAGTCTCATCAAACCCACCAAGGAATAGATAGTCAACACGATCTAAATGATTGTAATGAAGCACTCTTTTATGAACCTATGTAGGTTAATTTAGAAGAACTCATCAAATCTCGATGCAGCGAAACACGATGATTATGAACCAATGTATATGCCTACTCTAAAGCTTGATA